GTGAGAATGTGTTTGTCCGTGGCCTATACCCTGGTGCAGGGTGAGAAAGTGTTTGTCCGTGGCCTATACCCTGGTGCAGGGTGAGAATGTGTTTGTCCGTGGCCTATACCCTGGTGCAGGGTGAGAATGTGTTTGTCCGTGGCCTATACCCTGGTGCAGGGTGAGAAAGTGTTTGTCCGTGGCCTATACCCTGATGCAGGGTGAGAAAGGCAATGATGATGATTCAAAGCAGACATCAACAGTAATGTAAGTCATAATGGTTGTTGTTGTTGTTATCGATCTAGCAATAGCTGGGCTCTCGCCCTTCTGTCCAATGCCATGTAGTGATAAGTGCAGGTTTGCTGCAGTTGCTGTAATGTTCCATAGAGTGTGTTGTCAAAGTTAGGTCTCGGAGGGAGAAGTGTAGTTAAAGTAATAATGGTAAGGGACACGACTCCCACAGACTTTATGGACTTCATTCTCATTATTATTCGTAAATCCTGTTTTGAAAGTTCCTAGATCTCTTCTGCAGCATCAGTGAGTCAGCAAGTTGTTTTGTTTTAGTAGAGGTTTTACAGCGCTCGCAACTGCATGAGGTCATACGAACACCAAGAAGTGGATGTCAACAGAGAAGTCCTTACAGGGAATCAGACTTACTCTGCTCACCTCGCTAGCCTCAACAGCACAAAGTCTGCTTCGACTATCAAGGCAGCCTGGAAATAGCGGGTTACCAGAGTGTGACAAACATACAGAACAAGTAGAGGAAAAATGACAATAGTAAGGATTAGGAAAGAAAAAGCTGCAGTTCCCTGTTGCAGTTCACACACAGCTATGAGCATGACATTGATGAACCAGCCCATTTACAACTACAATTCTACTGTGCATAAGAACTCTAGATGTTAATGCCCCCCCCCCCCCGGCTTTGGGAATGGCCTAAAGACACTTCAGTCAGTGGAACCACCCTGGGGGATTGTAAGTAGCCTAGACATTCTGGACTTCCATTTTCATTATTATTCGTAAATCCTGTCTTGAAAGTTCCTAGATCCCTTCTACAGTGTCAGTTAGTTGGTGCGGAGCCATTCTGAACAAACTCACTTTTTCCTGGCTGACAAAAGATGCTCCAGAATCTCTGGCAGGAGTCCTTTCCTCATGGAGGCCTTGCAGAAGTAGTTGCCAGACGGCGTCTTGATGTACTGGTCTGGCGTCAGCCTGGCGAGTTGGAATGATGTTTTTTTTTTCCCCCAGTTTTAGTAGAGGTTTTACTGTGCTCGCAATTGCATAAGGTCATATGAGCGCCAGAAGATTAGAGGCGTTACAAGAGAGTAACAAACACAAAAAAGAAGGAGGGGAGATAAAGACGATAGATGGATAGGAAAGAAGCAAACTACACCAGGGCACCCACCAACCACCCACGGGGAAGCATACAGTCAAGCAGACATTTATAGGCGCTAAAACACAAATATACAGACATGACCTTTCGCTGTCTATTGCCGGGTACCCGTTCCCACCAGGGTGAAGTGAGGAAAATTTGTGTAAAGTGTTTTTCCCAAGGACAAAACATTGGGCAGCAGCTCGAACCCGCAACCTCACGATTACCAGTCCGGTAGCCTAACCACTAGACCACCGACACCACAACCTCACGATTACGAGCCCGGTAGCCTAACCACTAGACCACCAACACCACAACCTCACGATTACCAGTCCGGTAGCCTAACCACTACGCCACCACCTCACGATTACGAGTCCGGTAGCCTAACCACTACGCCACCACCTCATGATTACGAGTCCGGTAGCCTAACCACTACTTATTCTGAAGGAGCTTCCACTTACTCTTCTTTCTTAATGGAAAGTCACTTTTTAGCCTTTCCAGCCTCGTAGTGCCAAATAGCACATTGTGTCTTACGACTGATTATGACCGGGCCGGACCCATTTATTAATTTTATTATCATCATCATCATTATTATTCTGAATGAGCTTAATAATAATAATAATAGATAGCATTTGTATAGCATTTTCCCCGCCAGAGAGGGTTTACAGTAATAGAGAGGTGACACTCCATAACACTTACGCGCGGTGATTGCTGCCACGGCGATGCTCAGGGATGCTGTCATATGTCATGAGAAAATGTAGTACCGTCTGTGGTTAGTTCACTGGGTTACTAGGCCTTTAAAGAAAGGAGGCCTGTGAATTCTATCGCATATTTTAGGCAACTCCCCTGCCTCCCTCCGCCATAAATTGTAAGACTTGTTTTTGGCTTAAGTTAACATAGGCACCTACATTCTTATGAACAAATAGACGCAGATACATTTTTCTTCGTTTCTATAGATCTGAAAAAAAAATCACCATAATTAAAAAGAATACATGTAATCAGTTTAGTTTTCAACAAATCTACTCGTTCTCCAGTGTCCCCCTGTCATCTCTCTCCCTCTCTGTCTGTCTGTCTTTTTCTCTCTCCCCCCCTCTCTCCCTCTGTCTACCTGTCTGTCAGTCAGTCAGTCAGTCAGTCTGTCTGTCTGTCTCTCTCTCTTTCTTTCTTTTTCTTTTTCACACCCTCTCGCCCTGTCTATCTGCGTGTCTGTTGGTTTTGTCTGTCTGTCTGTCTCTCTCTTCTTCTCCCCCTTCTCTCGCTCCGTCTATTTATCTGTCTGTCTGACTATCTCTGTCTGTCTGTCTCTCTCTCTTGCTCTGTCTGTCTCTCTCTCTCTCTATGTGTCTCTCTCTTTCTCCCCTCTATAGCTCTATTTATTTTTTCTGTCTGTCAATCTGTTTCTCTGTCTCTGTCTCTCTCACACACAGATATATATATATATCATATTAAATTCTCACTTTCAGATCATGGAAAAGCACATGAAGCAATAATGATAGATCTACCAATTAAAGAGTTTAATAGGATCCCTAACACCTTCCCCCCCCCCCTCCCCCCCCCTCCCCCCCCCAAAAAGTAGTAATCGGACAAAGAAAGTTCCAAAACCGATCGACGGCACTTTGTATTTAGAAAACTTTTAGACATATCTTTCACTAGTAGAATGCAGGCTCAAAAGTTGAAGTGTGTTGAGTTTGTGCATTTAGTGTCAGTCTGGTAGGACCTCAATCATATTGTCATTATTTTGATCTATATTTTTCTATTCATCAAAATAATAATATTCGTTATCCTTTGGAAATGGAAAGAAACTCAGATTTTTATTTTAATAGGTGCAGTTTATAGCTGAACACCATTGACACTT